TCAACCTCTGAATTAGTTGTTAAGTTATATGCGTACCCACATGACCGCAACCTTTGTGTAGTCAATGCTTGTTCAGTATACCTTGATAAGACTAAGTCACTACGTGGCAGTGAATCTCATTTGCTCATAACTCATCAGAAACCACATAAGAGAGCCAGCAGAGACACAATAAGACGCTGGATCCAGCAAATGATGTTGAAGGCTGGCATAAGTATTAATGTTTACAAGCCTTATAGTACCTGCTCAGCTGCAGCCTCCAAGGCTAAGGTCAACAATGCCTCCCTTGCTGAGATAATGCAAACTGCTGGGTGGAGTTCAGCAGCCACTTTCGCACGGTTTTATGATGGGGAGATTGAACAAGGTTCCTCATTTACTAACAGGGTACTCAGCCTAAGTTAAATTGGTATTAAAGAACTTCTTCTGATTATAGCGTGTGCTATCAGTTACTTTGAAATCTCACGTTACTTTGTAGTGCGTATGATGACGAGGCAGAATCAAAAATTAAACGAGACTTACCTTAAGTTGATGTTTGATTGGGATTCTGCCTAGTCTTCAGTAGCACAAGAAGTCACGCCCATACCCTGTAAAGGTATTTATACCTGTCCACACTTCTTGTGCTACTATTCACCTGATTAGCACACTCAAGGCTTTAAACACTGACCACTTGAGTGGCTGGTGCTTTCTCACGTGACTTCTTGTGCTACTGATGACTCGGCAGAATCCCAATCAAACATCGACTTAAGGTAAGTCTCGTTTAATTTTTGATTGATGAATTTCTATGACATGCGCTCCGAGTCTGGTCACCGCAATGACAGGGAACCACCTGCAGATTGGCCAAAGGAGGGCGCCGTGCGTATCAGTAATTCCTTATTGGCTAACACCTACGGTCGTCGACGGGTATCGTTTGAAACGTTGCCTTCGAACATTGCACCAAGAGAGAAAGTTTGTATGGTATGCCAAAGAAACACGAAGACGATCTCCTTTGCTGCTAAACTTATGCTTACGTCAAAAAGATTGCAAGGAGAGGTATGGGTCGATGATATTCCACCAGCAACGATCAGCATCCGTGAAGCGAGAGAAGCTTTCTGCATACTCCAGCAACAACCATTAATTTTTATGGCTTCACTGTGAAAAAATCTTGACCCAGAAGAGAAATACGCGGACAGGGAGTTGTGGAACGCTTTGGACTCGGTGAGAATGAAAGAATATGTGACAGGGTTTCCCGGGGGACTAGACTACATAATGACACTATTACAACAAATTCGGGGCCAGCCGTCCGTTCACGTGGTGGGGTTCAGTCCCCTCCCGTCAACATATATATTGTAGTGTTCGCGCGTAAAGCTTCTTTATGTTACGTAGTTTGGTGTTGTTTGTCTTTAGGCTGCGTCTCGTGTTCTTTCATGATCCAAACCGTCAGGTGTGTTTATGTTTTCATTTTGCCGTATTTATATCATTTATTATTTTGTTTATGTCATTTATTTTCGGTAGTTAGCGTAACTTAATTTGTTATAGAAACCACTGGTCAAGAAATAAACGTATATGGTTCGGATAGCCATTGAGTGATGTTACTGGTGCGTACGTTACAGACACAGTCTGCGCACTTCTTCAACTCTCAGTTGTTGTCGTTGTCTGTCGCTCGTGTGATACCACGGAAGAAGTAAGTAAGTAAGTAAGTAAGTAACTTTATTTAGCCACATATCGCATATGAGCGAATAGCTCGTTTAAATGCAAATGTGCCATAAAACTTTGACATAATTTACATATATAAGTAATAAGTAATAGGTAAGAAATAAAAATTAATTATCTAGAATGAATAATTGCTATTTGTGACTAGACTATTTGTTTACAAAACAAACAGCTGCAGTCATACGATGAGGACAACTGTATGTCTTGCAAATTTTTCCTAAATATAGAAAGGGATTCCGACATCCTTATTTTGTCTGTCAGATTGTTCCATTGTTTGCTAGCCTGGTACGTAAAAGAATGTTGCATATAAGATGAGGTTGGTCTTGGAAGAACAACCTTAAGATGGCCACGTAGGCTGTAACCATTACTTCGCAGAGAAAACAATTCCTGAATGTAGTTCGGTGTCTGGTTATGAATACTTTTATATACAAGTATAAGTGCTTGTTCTATGCGTCGATGTTCTAAACTTTTAATATTTGCAGTTTTCAATAACTCTTCGTAAGCAGTCGACTTAGAATAATTGAGAAGAGTCCTCAGAGCGAATGCATTGGTTGACTCCAGTTTCGCAGACAGACCCTTACTTAGACCTATAAACAGTGGTGATGCATATTCGAAGTGAGGGAGAATGAAAGCTTTGTACAATTTAATCATCACATCTGAGGGTATAAATTTACGAATGCGACGGAGAATTGAAACTTTTGTATTCACTTTCCGGCAAACTTCTTTAATGTGTACGTTGAAAGAGAGTGAATTGTCGATGACTACTCCAAGAAGCTTCATATGTGTAACGTAATCCAGTTCATTACTGTCAATAACAAAGGGCGTTGGTAAAGTTGCTCTGTTGAAAACTATGGATTGAGATTTACTATGATTGATCGCCAGAAAGTTCTCACAAAACCAGGAAGCGAGTAGACCAACGTTGTTTTGTAGATTTATTTGCAAGGTAGATGGACAGAGGTTTGAAGAGTACCCAGTAGTGTCATCAGCATAAAATCTTAGAGAGCACGAAATATCTGAAAAATTCACATCGTTCATGTATATATTGAAGAGAAGGGGGCCCAAGATTGAGCCTTGAGGAACTCCACACCTCACAATTTGCCAATCCGACAAAACACCGTCAGTCTTGACATGTTGCTTACGGTCAGTCAAGTAAGAACGTAGAAGTTGTAAGGCGTCTTTAGTTACACCATAAGCTGACAGTTTTGCAAGAAGCAAATCATGATTGATAGAGTCAAATGCTTTGGAGAGATCTATGGTAATTGCTGCAGAGTGTTCGCTAGAGTCTAATTTTTTCCTAATGTCTTCGAATGTCTTGAGAAGGGCTGTCGTACACGAGTGTCCTTTCAAGAAACCAGACAAATTCCCGCTGAGAAAGTCAAGAGAAAACTCATATAACTGATCAAAGATAACTCTTTCCGCTACCTTTGAAACAGCCGATAATACAGATACAGGACGATAATTAGATTTTAAAGTCTCAGTTCCTTTTTTATAGATCGGGGAGACAATAGAGGTTTTCCAATCTGTAGGCCAGGAGCCACTAACAATGCACTGGTTAATTAATTTTGTGAGAGAACTGAAAATTCTTGGCCCAGCAAGTTTCAGCAGGCGTGGAGAGATTCCGTCAGCACCGGTGGCTTTGTTGATTTTGATAGTAGAAAGTATCCTTTTGATATAGGAGTCCTGAACAGGAGTAAATGAGAAGCTCGTTTGTCTTCCAAGCTTCCGTC